GAAACTGACAAACTTTCTCTGATTGAAAATTCCAAATCTCATAGAATTTTTGTAGTGGGAAGCCATTTGATTTGAAATCTAGTGACTTTTCCCTCCCTTTTTCCCATAAAATAGACTTAGGATTTGATTTTTAGGAGTTTAAAGGAGAAGAAATTGCCAAAAATCTCCTTTTGGCATGTTTTAGTCATTTTTGTCACTGCAGCGCATCATGTGCCAAATTTAGCGCATCATGCGCCGCTCTCTGGAATTCAGCGCATCATGTGTCAGTTCTAACAAATTGTACTTTTTCTATTTCAATCCAATAAATTCTTAATTTTTTCATAAAATTAGGCAAATAAAGATGCTTCTAATTATTTTTCTCAAATACACAATCTTCATAAAGGCCTAAACATAAATATATGTAAAAGATTTCAAACAAAACAAACTCAAAAGGGTTACCTACCACAAAACGCTTGGTTTAATGTCGCTAGCCCTACATTCCTAGTCTCATTCTAGGTGATCCAACATTACAGATGATCTTTAACCATAAAAAATATGATTTTAATCTGTGCCCATTCACTTTAAATATTCTTCCAGTCTTGGGGTATTCGATATTAACTGCTCCATCGGGATAAACTTTTATAACTCTGAATGTCTCTTTCCACAAAGACTTCAATTTTCCAGAAAATAATTTCAATCTTGTATTGTATAATAAAAATTTCTATCCAGGTTCAAATTCCCTTTTTATTATATTCTGATCATGCCATTCTTTCATCTTTTCCTTGTAAATCTTCGCATTATCGTAAGATTCATTTCTAATTTCCTCAAGCTCATTCAATTGCAATAATCTTTTTGCACCAGCTTCTTTCAAATTGAAACTGAATTCTTTTATAGCCCAATAAGCTTTACGTTCCAATTCAACTAACAAGCGACAAGTCTTCCCAAAAATTAATCTATATGGGGACATTCTTATATGTGTCTTATAAGATGTTCTGTATGCCCATAATGTTGCATCTACTCTAAAAGATCAATCTATTTTGTTAGGATTAACATTTTTTTCTAACATTCTCTTAATTTATCGATTAGATACTTCTGCTAAACCACTAGTCTGGGGATGATAAGCAGTTACAATTTTATGCATTATATTGTATTTTTTCACCAATCGTGCAACTGTTGCATTCTTAAAATGAGATACTCCATCGGGAATGATTACTCTCGACATTTCTTATCTTGTAAAAATATTTTTAATTAAAAATTTTGAATCACTTTTAGCATCACATCTATGTAAAGTGATTGCTTCAATTCATTTTGAAACATACTCCATTGCAATCAATATAAAAATATTTTCGGATGAAGGTATAAATGGTCCCATAAAATTTAATCCCCATGCATAAAAAATTTGAATTTCCAAATTAAAATTTAGAGGCATTTAATTTCTTTTTAAAATATTACATACTCTCTGACACCGATCACATGTTTTTATATGTATATTAACATCTCTAAATAGAGTAGGCCAATAAAATACATATTGCAAATCTTATGACCAGTTCTATCATTCCTTAAATGATCTCCAAATTCAGAATCATGACATTTCTGAATAATTTCCTGAATTTCTTTATGAGGAACACATCGTCTTATTACTAAATCTTTACAATATTTATACAAATAAGGATCATCACAAAAATAAGATTTTGCATCATGAGTGAATTTCTTTTTCTGCTATTTTGTTAGTCCCTATGATAAAATACCACTTACAATATAATTTATAATATAAACATACCAAGGTATTTCCCATCCTTTTACAGCATAAAGTTGTTCATCAAGAAAGTTTCATTAATTTCTTTTTCCAAATCAAGTATTTCTTCCTGTTCTAGCCTAGATGGATGATAAACAATTTGATTATCAGTCCCTTTTCTATCAACTATTACAAAATCAAACTCTTACATCAGAAGTATCCATCTAATTAGTCTCAGTTTAACATCCTTTTTTTGCATCAAATATTTAATAGCCGAATGGTCAGTATGCACAACACATTTAGCTCCAATCAGATATGATCTAAACTTATCGAAAGCATATATAATGGCTAATAACTCTTTTTTAGTAGTGGTGTAATTAATCTAAGCATTATTAAGAGTCTTACTAGTATAGTATATGAATTTAAAAATCTTATCATATCTCTTCCCTAAAACAACTCCAATAGCATAATCACTAGCAACACACATTAATTCAAAAGGTTTCTCCCAATCAGATGAAACAATTATAAGAGCAGTGATCATTTTTTCCCTTAAAGATTCAAAGGCTTTAAGGCAATCTTGATTAAAGTCAAATTTTGTATCTTTTTCTAGAAGTCGGCATAAAGTATTCGTAATTTTTGAAAATTCTTTAATATATCTCTTGTAAAATCCAACATGTCCTATAATGCTTCTAACTCCTCTTACTGTAGTAGGTGGAGATAAGTTTGATATAACTTGTATTTTTGCAGGATTTACTTCCATGCCTTTTTCTGAAATTTTATGTCTAAGCACAATTCTTCCTGCAACCATGAATTGACATTTTTCCCAGTTCAATACGAGATTAATATTTTCACATCGTTCCTAAACTTTTTTTAAATGATCTAAACATATTTAAATTAAGTTCTAAGCACAGAAAAATCATCCATAAAGACTTCAATCCCTTTTTCAATCAAATTATTGAAAATTAACATCATACATCTTTAAAATTTTGTAGATACATTACATAATCCAAAGAGCATTCGCCAAAAAGCAAACGTTCCATAAGGACTAGTAAATGTTGTTTTATTTTAATCATCTAGAGCAATAGATATTTGATGATAACCATTATATCCTTTTAAAAAATAAAAATATTTATGCCCAACCAGCCTATCCAATATGTTATCTAAAAAAGGTAAAGGAAATGATCCTTCCTGTTGGTAGAATTTATTTTTCTATAATCTATGCTGATTCTCCAACCAGTGACTTATCTTTTTGATATTAATTTGTTATGCTCATTTGTCACTACAGTCACACCTCCTTTCTTCGGAACACTGTGAATTGGACTTACCAAAGCACTATCTGAAATAGGATATATTATTTCAACATCTAACCATTTTAAAATTTCTTTCTTCACAGCTTCTTTCATCATAAGATCTCTTAGTTTATGTTGATCTTCTACTATGCATACAAATTGAAGGAGTGATTCCTTTAATATCAACTAATGTTCATTCAAAGGCTTTCTTATAAATCTTCAAATTTTCCAACAACTATTATTCTTGCATATCAGTTAATTCTAAGGATACTATAACAAATAATGTAGATAAATCTCTTAAGAATGCATACTTCAAATGTGTAGGAAGTGTTTTTAGTTCTAGTTCAGGAGGTTTCTCAATAGATGAAATCAAATTCTTATTACTTTCTATACGATCTAACATTTCAGATTCTTCCTGAACATAATCTAAATCCTCTTTACTCACTTCCATAGATTAATCTTGAATTTTATCCTCATCTTGACATTCCATATATTCCTATTCAAATTCTTTTTCAAAAGTCTTCTTAAAATATTCAAGGCTTAAATATTCATTAATATCCATTCTGAATCATTCAATCTCTTACTCTTTTATAGGGTATCTCACTGATTTTACAATATTAAATGTAACCTCTTGGTCTCTAACTCTCATGACTAGTTCTTCTTTCTGCACATATATCAAAGCTCATCCAATAGATAAGAATGGTCTTCCTAAAATGATAGGAATTTCTTATCTTTCTCCATATTTAGTACAATAAAGTCCACAAGAAAGATAAATTTATCAAATTTTACTAAAACATCTTCTATACCTCCTTTAGGATAGGTGTTCGACCGATCAATTAACTGAAGAGTTACAGTTGTAGGTGAAATATCTCTTAAACCCAACCTTCTAAAAGTTGATAACGACATAAGATTAATACTGGCTCCTAAATCACATAAAACTTTTCCATAAAATCATTCGCCAATAGCATAAGGAGTTGTAAAACTTCTAGGATCCTTAAGTTTTTTAGGAAGCTTTTCCTGAATTATAACACTATACTCTTCCTTGAGTGCAACAGTCTCATTATCTACGGACTTCCTTTTCTTATTAAGGGTCTGTTTGGCGCAGCTGTGGATTATTTATAATCTGCTGATAAGCAGATTATTGTGATAATCTGATAATCTGTAGATTATCAGAATAATCTGGCTTGCTGTTTGGGCCAGCTTATTGAAGCTAGCTTATTGGTGGTTGAATGACATAACTGCCCCTATGTGATAAAACTGTTTGGGGCAGCTTATTTAGAATAGCTTATGCATAGAAAAGAAACATTAATTGCAAAAACATACGATAATGATAGACTAGTTATAAAAGAAAACATACAGTTCTCACATCTTAACGAGTACCAGTACAACTAAAAAAAGTACAAAAACAAGTACAACAACAAGAAGAAATATTAAAATATTTAACTTCAGACTCTGGCTACAACGGTCTTCAACTGCACAGTCAGCCTGAGAAAACATCGGATTGACATGACTGCTGGCATAATTACTGGCGGTGTAATTTGTGGGACTATCAGCCCACCTGAAGAAACCGCAACGAGCTGTAACACCTCTGGCACAACCATAGAACTGCCTCCCAAAGCTACGCTCCTTACGTGACGTTAGCAACGGAGACGGTAGTCCACAATAACACAAAATCTCTCTGTCCATACCTGATATCCTGGAAGTCATGTTTGTTTAACTGCGACGAAAACAAAAGAATCAATGTCCGTTTAAGGTGTTTTAAAAGTAACCAAAATTAAATACATTTGAATATCAACCTATAACTTTATTAAAGTCAAACTTGGTAGATCAACAGCCACAAATAGCATCTGTAATAGACTCCCTTAAAGCAATCATATCAGCCAAACCTTCACCCTCCTGATCTCCAAAATCATTAGAGTCTACATCATCCTCAGGTAATGAAGTACCAACCACAATTTCAGGAGTTTGGTCAAAGACATTCAGTTCGTTGTTGTCAGTCATACTAAAATCTGTATCTAATCGTGAGGCATGTCTTCGGATGAAGTTATGTAGTGCCATTGTTGCAACCACAATATGCACATGCTTTTGGAAAGGATACGACGGCATATCGCGTAGGATGACCCATTTCTTCTTCCAAACCCCAAATGTTCTTTCAATTACCCCGCGTAAAGATGAGTGACGTTTATTAAACATTTCCTTTCTACCACGGATGGTGCCACTCGCTCTCGCAAAATCAGGAAGATGATATCTTGTGTCAGGATAAGGCTTCAGGTATCCCCTTTGCATAGGATACCCGGCATCAACCAAATAGTATTTTCCTAATAAGAAAAAACAATGTTAAGTAAAAAGATTAAATTCTGAAATTATCAAATTACAAATCAACACTAACCTGATGGGGGGTGAGGAAAACATTGCGATCTATTCCGGGTGGCAAATGAGAAAATCCGACTGTCATGTGCACTCCCTTCCCATCCCGCCACTACAAAAGTAAAGCACATGTTGAAGTCGCATACAACCATGACATTCTGAGTTGTCAAACCACTCCGACCGATGTATGCAACCTTCTCGTGGTTGGGTATTCGGGCATCAACGTGTGTACCGTCAAT